TGGCCGTTGTAATTAGTATCTCAGTTCTTTGTTTTACTATATATACAGTGAATACTAAAAATGTATTTGAGGTAATCAGACGATAATCGTAAGTTATTATATCAAAATTAACTGAAACTAAGCTGGTAAGAAGGGTTTATTATACTTGATATTTGTAATGAAGAATGATTTAGAGATTAATGATCATCTGACTTCGCATATAAAACTCATGAATGAATGACTATTAGGCCGTCATTAGTAACCTAGAAGCCAGTGGCCGGCCATATTGCCCTGGTATCGGACTTACGGCAGTGCGCATTCTTGACTCCTGACACTCTCAGGATTTGAACCCAGGAGCTTCATTCGCTGAACCACTGAGCTGGCATGCAACGGTATGAAGGTCTAACTCTGACCAATCTAAGAATTTTGCGTAACCTCACCCATTTGTCTTCAGTATTTACTACCTATACCTGACAAGGTTGAACTGCACTGATCACGGTTTCTCATTAAAACTCCGAAAATCCCTTCATGAAGCTGACTACTAGTGAGCACATTTTTGATTCCACATCATGATATTGTAGAGATCGTTGACTTAACACATTGGAAACACTTATGAATCATTGTTACTGGTCCAGAGGTTAAGCGTTCGCGTGTCTAACCGAAGATCTTGTGTCCACATCCTGCGAATAGGAGTCGTGGACGGGCACTGCTTACGATTCCCATACCAGGACGGAATGGCCATTCAATGCATCTAGGTTTTTAATGGTGGCCTAAAAATGACTCATTCATGATTTGAATGTGTAAGAACAATGATCTTCATAATACTTTAACGCAAAATCATGTGATTTGTTGACAGAAGTGACTTAAACACTTTGACATTGTCTAATGTCCAATTTTTTTCAATAAACATGAACACATTCTCTGATAAGTTGAAGTTAACTTTTGTTTTTCACCTTTTCATAATCTTTTAAAATTTTCTACTTGGTACGTGATAAATATATTTTAAAATTTCTACAATATTCTATTGTAATTTGTAATCTTCAATTCATTGGAAATAAGATTACTTTTTTTTAACAACAACTCATCTCTTCAGATTGAAAAAAATTACTTTCTGACTTCATTATAAGGCAACAATTGAAGAGAGAGCAAAGAAATACAATGAATTTATCGTATTTGACAATTATTCCTTACGTTATCTTGTTTAAATAAAATGTATAGGTAGTTTTTTTGATCATAGATTAACATTCATCGGGAAGACACCGAAATACAAGTTTATCTCTAGTTTGTGGTTAATTACAAAGGAATCATATAGCCACTGGGAATGAGCCTTAAAGTGGTTCTCATCGCGTTCACTGGTCAAGCTGTTAATTATGAAGACAACTTGATCTGAGAGTTTCTCATTGAAAAGACTGGATACTAGTTATTTCATAGAACACACTTGACTAAAGTAAATAGTAGGATTCCGGGTAAGTGGTTATATGACATCTTCTTGGTTGTGGGTGTACAATGCGAAAAAGTTTAAAATATGAAAAGAATTACGAAAAAGCACTTGCTTATTCTAAACAGTGATGAAAGTAAGTGAAGTTCTCGAATCTACTTGTGGAACTAGCAGAATTGTGCAGGAGAGAAACATAAGTGAATCGATTAATGGCCAAGGTCGTCTATATTACTTGCTATTACCCATTATCCCTAATAGAGCATGCTCCCCAGACCATCATTCTCCAACCAACTCTCTCCTGAGCCTTACTTTCCAGTCTCTCTTCAATTGTCACAGTACTGTGTTCTTTGGTCTAAAACTCTTTTCCTTATGTTACAGTCAACACAATAGCATACTGTGCGATAGTTGAATATTAATAAATAACTTCAAATACTATTCTTCAATATCTTACTCAAACTGATTCAATAAGTTTTATTTAATATTCACATATATTTCAATCAGAATGGAATAAATAACTAATTTGGTCAAAACAAACGAATTAATAGCATTGACATGTTGGGACCACTGAATAACAGACTCATCCAACGAGAATCATGAAGATTAATTCATAGAAATTTAAATATACCGCAATATTTTTTAGTATTCTCTATTAAGTTGATCTTAACAACAAGGCAACTTATTAATTAATGTATTCATTTATTCAGAGAAGGTAATAAAATTACCTTCAGTAAATTTCTAAACTAAACAAATCAATAACAAACTATTCATCTGGATAATAGTTGTTCACATGAAAACACTAAAGAAATTGAAGGAATTAGATTTGACTATAAAATAGTTTTAGATAAGCCAATGAGAACTTTCATTAAAACCAGAATTAGATTAGATATTTCCTTAGTCATATTTCAAGTTCACGAAGAAATAAAAATTACAAATCATAGTTTATTAGGTAAATTATCGCTGAGATCGAAGCTTATATTATACAGCTAGGTTTTGAGTTGACTTATTCTCAAATAGCTTCAGATTGTTTGAGCTTTAGTTTATTTAAAATTGAATTTAAATGACAGTGTTTTATTTTTTTTAAAAATGTTACTTATTTCCTTCCTTTTTAATAAAACTAAACAAAACAATCTATCGTTTTTTGTATCTTTTCTTAATTTGATGTATGAAACAGAAAAATCAATCATAGACACTACAAAAGTAATTTAATTTAAACACTTTATTTACTTAAAACTACTTATGATATTTATTCACTGGGAAAATTAATACTTACACATTATTTCCTAATTAATGATATTTTTGTGAAACACACCTAAAGAGAAATGTATACTGATAATTTATATATGTATATTGATCCAGAGATGTAATGTTTAGGGAAATTTTAAAAGATTCATGATAAACTAGTAGTTAGAAATAATAGAACAGATTTGATGAATTTTTCTTTGTTACTATTCTATAGAAACGTTCATTTTATTTTGTAAGTGACCTAATTACTGAAATTGAATTGTTAAACATAAAATCACTTTGAATGTATATTTGTAGTTAATTAAAAATTTACGCGTTGTTCATTTTGCTGCAATAAACATTAAAATTTGTAGAAGACAAACTAGTGTATTACAACACTATTACAAGTAAACATGAAGTATAGATACTTAATAACATTGTTTGTTACCGTCTTATGCTTGTCTGTAGTGAATGTAGAACTCTCTTCTTATTCATGACTAATAAGCATCACTAAACAACGATAATACAAGGTAAAATAAACTCATGACTTCCTACACCCGATAGGGTTGAACTCCTTCGGTCACGTCTCCTCATTAGAATTCCGAGAATTTCCTCACAAAGTTAGTCTATAGTGAGAACATTTGAGGATTTTTTATTCAAATAAAGTTATGGCGATCAGTGTTTTAACACATTGAAATCATCAGTCAATCATTAACACCATTCGATGCCGGCCCAGTGGTCCAGAAGTTAGGCGTTCGCGCTCAAAACCGAAGGTCCTGGGTTCGAATCCTGTGAGGTGCAGGAGTCATGGATGGGCACTGCTGATGAGTCTCATACCAGGACAAAATGGCCGTCCAGTACTTCCAAGTTTCTAATGGTGGTGTAACAATGATTGACTGATGATTTCAGTTGTTTAAAACACTCATCTCCATAACTATAACTGAAGAAAAAAACACGACTAATATTCGAAAAATTAAAGACTGAGATCATGAAGATCTTGAACAAGTATGAATGCTAACTAATCTGTAAACAAATCACTAATTGATTAGTGACGATAAAAATTTATCAGAAAGATTATCATGAACTTTATCACACTTTAACATATACTCGCTACTGATGAGCATGAACAACAGGGGGGAAAATACTTAGTGTTGTATACTCTTCTTCTCATGCGAAACAAAATATTAACTAATTCGTTTAATTTATATTGGTCTTATTCTTTAAACAAATTTTCTACTCATCACATATTAAATATCACTATAGATTTTTCATTTCTTTTTCTGAACAGAAAAAGTACACTTTTAAAAATTAAATAGAATTTTCTTTGTATTAAAATTGATAATTTTACACCAAAATAACTAGAAATTATTATTTAGACAAAAAGAATGGTACAGTTTTGTTAAATAATATTATGAGCGTACATACTGGACATGAATTGACTCCTACTACATGTTCATTTGTGCAAATCAATGAAAAAAAAATCAGTTGTTTATTTAAACAGTGAAACTAAAACAAGGTGAATGAAACACTTTAATTATTTAGTTACATTATATCAAGATACTTAGTTATATTTAACAAATTAAAAAAAAATAGGTTACAAAGCTTAAAACCTTTGTGCTTGGGTTTGAAATGATCAGGAGAATTGTTTTTACACAATAAATTAGAGTTATCATGATAAAAATGTACATGCACAAAGTTTTTTTATGATTTTTTTGTCAAATTGTGAAAGTTAACGAACGGATATTGTAGTACAGTAGTATGGTAACACTGTGGTGCGCGCTACTTATAAGTAGTATATGACGCGAGTGAAAACGTAATGTCTGGCAACAGAAGATGGGGCAAGATCAAGAAAGGAAGAGTTGGAACACAATGGAATTTGTATGAAACGCATGGATAGTGAAATGTCAGACAATGGATTGATGATGGATTGAAGATTTGCAAATTAACCATTTACGATATGATTTTCCTATTTTACTGAGTAACTCTGTAATTTTCGATAAATACAATTCGGTTGCCCTCACCTGTGTTCTCCTTCACTACAATACTATAATGCTTCATCACTCCTCATTCAAGTTCATTTTCGAGGAAATCATTCATATGAGTTCAATGTCAGGTATTCAACTACCTATATCACCTATCAAATGAAGGTAAGCTTCAATACATGTACACATAGTTACATTGAACGCTTTATTCAATATCACAATAATTAAAAATGTATCATTCTTAACTAATAATATGAATAATTTGCTTACTAATTACATTTTATCAATGAATATAGAAAAATATATATATATATATTGATCAAATTCTGTTACATTATCAATCTATATAAACATGATCAATAGTTCAATAAAGAACTTACGTGGATCAATTGCTTCATTTTTAATTTGTTCCGCTTCCATAATACATATAGGTAAAAGAAATAAATAGATAATAATAACATATAATATAGTTGAAAATGGTTTAAAATGATTTGATATTTGTTCATAAAAATCTTCACCACGTTTTTTAATAATAAATGAATCTAATATTATATCCTCTTCAATAGATGAAGAATGTTCACGTGATCGAGTGATACCATTCACATTCGATAATACAGTACTATTATAACGACTTTCATTATTATTATTACCATATAGATTGGTATTTGTTGACATTGTAGTGAATTTTTGTAAAGTTGGAAAAGAGAATAGCAAATTTTGTAAATGTAACATATCTTTACCAAGTATCACTGAATCATTAGCTGAATGACCAATACGACATAATGCAGAATAAATCATGATTGGAAATAAACAAAGACTTAAAATAATTGATGTCAATTGAAAATACAATGTATGCATTTCATCCCATTTATTACCAAACCTTGGATCATATGCTTGTGTTTTAAAATTTTTATAACGCCATATAGCACGTACTAATAGACACGTGATACTTGATGTAGTGAAAATCACATACCATATATTACTTAATGATGTACAATTTGAACCGATACCATAGTTTTGAATGAATTTCCATAAACATGATACTTTACCTGTTGATAATGTTGCCCATAATTGTCTACGTGAAGCATAAAATGCTGGATGTAATTGACTGTTAGGCATAATTTAATTAATTCCAAAATGTTAAATAATTTTTAAATTTTAATTCCTTAGTAAACTTAATCAATGGATTAATTATCATGTTATAACATTGTAGTTATTGAATACGTTAAATATCACATTATGAAATTTTTAAATCATTTTGTTTAAATGTACAATTCAATTGTAAGATTTGAGAAAGACATTTTTTTGGACCAATCAGAATGTAATTCAGTAAGTGAGTCATTAAAATTAAAACTCAAATATGATTGGATCAAATTATTCAATATGGCTAGAATTTATCATAGATTTCTCATAGGTGTGTATGTATGAAGAATAATATTCGTGATTATTACAAACTTAGAGTAGGAGTGAGATATGTAGCGCATTACACTTATGACAACGACTAACCTACTATTAAGGGGCGTCAACCTAATCAGAAAGAGGACCAGCAAATATTATCTATTGAAAATCAATTATTGAACACGATTAAATTTTTAGTCTCAATTTCTTATTTTTTCAAATGATAAGCAATATTAACAGACAGAACATGCAATTTTTAAATATGAGCCATAGGTGATGTTTTGGTGAAAAATGATTATTTACATTCTAAGTAAATACAATAGGCATTTAACGTTAAATGTAGTATAGCACAAATATTGGTGCATTTTTTGAACATAGAAATTAAAAGACAATCAAGATTATTCTTAAAAATATAGATTGTTTTCATTAATTGAAACATTGAGCACATTTTCAAACATTTGGATATTAATAGGAAAAAAAGATCACAGCAGACGATGGATTTGTATAATTTTAGTTTATTAATCTAAATAACATAAGTTTTTGTCAGATTATCATAAGGATATTAAAATAAATTGTATTAGTTGTATAATTTGACAATTTTAAGTATTTACTTTCTGTTAAACTTGTGAATACCTATATCACAGGAAGAATAAAGTGTCTTTAGACTATGAAATAAAATATTTTTATTGAAATCATGAAATGATAAATGTTAGGCCACTATTGAAAACTTGAAAACACTAGATGACCAGTTTGTTCTGGTATGAGATTCCTTAGGAGTGCGCATCCACGACCTATGCGTAAATGGACTGGAGTTAGATGTTAACACCATTGCTATACCGAGGGTCTTGGATTCGGTTTCCAAGTGAGAGTTTGTGGATTTGCACTACTAAGGAGTTCCATACCAGGACGAAACAGCTATCAAATAAGTCCAGGACCTTAGTCATGGTCTAACATTTGTCAGGTCATGATTTTAATGAATATCAGAAATCTCCACGACCCTAAAGCCATAAACTGCTGTAACTAAAAGTAATAAGCATTCAGTTAGATAGGAAATTAATTTTAAGAAAGATTTTCTAATTTCTTCCCATGCAAATCAAACAAATATATGTGGTTTAAATTTTCACATTCAAACAAATCCTTTCGCCATATTTCAGAATGTTTTCAAGGAGAATTTAATCCACTTCAACTCTGTGAATCAATAGAAATGTAAAATATTGACACAGAAGTCATCATTTTCTTTTTCACAAATTAAATAATATCATACAGACCATGCAGCAGCATCCGGTGACTGTTTTGTCCGTGACAACTGTGGTTCGACCACGTCGAGGGCAAGGCATTTACTCACTAAGTACATTGAAATAAAGTTGCCTAATATTACGAATTGACTGATGATAAACATATTGTTATACTCGTCAGTTGATAATCTTTAATCCTATTACGAGTTCAGCTTACTCGGTAAACGGAGCGACTCAGTGACACGATAAGCTATTCTAATCCCATTGTCCGAGACCTGGCTAATTAAAGCAAGAAGTCTTGGTAAGGCGTAGAGAATGTATTCTACAGGCACCCAGAAAATTTGAGGTTGCTAAGCACACAACTTAAGCTTATTTATACAATCATAGAGAAGCTCTTGGAAGAGCCACAAAATAGCGTACTAAAAAATCAATCAACCAGTGACAGTCAAGCTGTAGGTCAGTTAAGCGTTTCTTGGCGCGAGAACATTAAAATCCAAAATTTCAGAAATGAATTACAAAATTAGAACCTATTCCAAGTGAGTTCTGGGGGTCTAACTTCCCCAATACATATGGACTACTGAACCAGAAATTAGTCATTCACAAGTTAAAATGAATGTCCATCTTTGTTCCATCTTTGGTTGCAGGGTTAGTGCTCTTCAGTGGAAGTCCAGCTCACTTTGTAATTTCAACTATCAACGTTACAGTCCCTAGAAACCTTCCCTCTCATTGAGCAATAGTAATTCTGAGTAGTTTATAGAAGTCTCTATAGAATTCTATAGAAACTAACAAAGCAATTAAGATTCCTACATAAATTATAGCATTATCTGGAATCTACGTACAGACTGAGCTGTAAAAATCGCTTAAACTATTAGGATCTTTTAATTCAAATTTCAAGATACGACGAAAAAGATAATAAAAAAATCTATTCTTACGGAACATATAAATGAATATTACCGAAAAGTTTTAAAATTATCCCTAATAAATCCATGAATGCCACATTAGTATTTATTGAGAAACTTATGCTTAATGCATTTTGAGTGTGCAGAGCTAAACTTTCACTGAATCAATAAGCAAACATGTTAGCAATAAATGGCGATTATTCGAAATCAGAATTAAACATCTAACCATTAGTAAAATTGTGGTGCGCGCTACTTATAAGTAGTATATGACGCGAGTGAAAACGTAATGTCTTGCAGCAGAAGATGGGGCAAGATCCATAAAGGAAGAGTGGGAACGCAATGGAACTTGTATGAAACGCATGAACAGTGAAATGTCAGACAATGAATTGATGTTTTGCAAATTAACGGTTTACGATATGATTTTCCTATTTTACCAATTAACTCTGTAGTTTTCGTTAAATACAATTCAGTTGCCCTCACCTGTATACTCCTTCACTACAAAATTACTACATCTCTAAAGAACATTTTTCACAATATTTAGATTATAGTTAACGATTATACGATATACTGCCACACCACATTATTTCAAACATACCTGCTTTAATATCTTTGCAATTTCATAGAAAGAAAAATCTTATACGTGCAAATATATTCTTATCATGTTTTAACATTATTAACGACAAACTAAAAGTTAATTGCAAAAGCTTCACTTGTTTTAGTTAAAACAAACTGGATACAATTTCAGGCGGATCAATAATGCTTGTAATTTTGTATTCAATGTTCAATCACGTCTCAATGAGTAAAAACAAGTTGAAACTCATAGTTTATTCACTTCAATGGTTTTTAATTCTTTATAGAAGATCATACCATTTGGAAACAAACTTTTATTCTTTTGTTTATCTCACACAAGATGATATTTAAAATTTAATTCCGTATATATGTTTATTTACTAAACAGAAGACTAATTGTAATTTGTACAAAAAACATTACTGTATTTAGATAATTGGATAGCTAGTCAAATACATAATTAATGAAGATTATGCAAACTTACTGTAACTGGTAGTAGGTTGGATAGATAATAAAAAAAATATCAAAGTAAAACCATTTGTTCAAAAGTAGTGAAACAAATTTTAAGTTATGGACAAGCAAATTTCATGTTAATTAATAAATAAATAAAGATTTATTTGAATCGTTAATTTCGTTGAGATTATCTGATTTTATTTCTTGTAAATGAAGTGAAATTGAAACACTCAGATGTTTGTGGATAATACTGGTGAGAAGACTGAGGCAGGCGCGGAAGATTGTATTATTCAGATCTACACTCTTAGTCAATTAAAAACGACAACATTACATTGAACACTCTATTTGCACACCATCTTTAAGTCGTGACTTCCAACGCTCCAGCCTTCTTCCATTCCTGCTGTTGCTTCCTTTACTTCCTGTCGGTACTCCATTTACTTCTTGCTTTTGCTCCATTTGCTCTCCGTTTTCCTCTTGTGACCGTGAGACTTCTTCTTTCACGTCCCTTCTTATACTACTTATATCATTCGTATAAGTAGCACACACCACACTGGAAGAGACTAACGAAAGTGATAATTGGGATGATACTCAAGCTAACTGAACTTAACTAGAATGTAGGTAAATTGAATAGAGTTGATTGATTACTGTGAAATTGTTTAAACTGTGTTCAACAACTTACACTCAGAGATTATGGTAAATATTCAAATTTCTTTGTATGACTGTCATTATAATTATTTGATCTGTTTTTCCTTGATCCTTTATCGAATAAATCTAAATGAAAATTTAATTTTTTTGATCGATTATTGATTTCGAACTGACTGAAAGGTTTAAAAGTAACCCGTTACTTGAGAGGCCTAATTGTTTGAGGTTCAACATTTATTCGAGTCGTACGTTTTTACGGTTTAAGAGTCTCAAGAGAGGATAGAACTTATGTACCGTGCACCTCGCTTTTAACTTGGAATCAGTTCATGAAGTAAATTACATCCAATAATTAGTAAGTACACGAAGTGAAAAGGTTATAAAATCACTGAAATCATGAATTGATCTACGTAAGATCACCACTAAAGACGTGGAGGTATAGGATAGTTGTTTCGTCCTAGTGTGGTACTCCTCATCAGCGTTCATTCGTAAATCCGTACGTGAGAATCGAAACCAGGAGCTTCGCTCTTATGCGTAAACCATTGGCTCTTAAACCATTTATTCAATGAAATTCGATAATATTCACAACCCCTTTCTGGCAGTTATTATGTCCTCACTGGTGAGAGGAATTTCAAAAGGCGATTCGCGAAGTCTTGGTGAGAATCCGTGATCAGTGAGGCTAAACCGTGTTGGGATTGAACAAGTTAACCACTGAAGACAATAAAAAAAGTATCGTGGACCGATAGGAGTTAGACATTAACATCTTTGGATGCACACTGTTGAGGAGTCACATAGTCGAACGAAATGGTGTCCTGTGCTATCAGATTTTCAGTGTTCAGTCAGATGTCAGTCAAATGCAACGTAGAACCTCGTACGTAGGTACATCAGTTCATGTTGCCATACCACAATAGCACAGAGACGCAACTGTCAATTCAAATCACATAGTGGTAAATATAGTAGGAGTACTACTGGTAATAGAAAAGATTAGGGTTCCAAGATATTATTCAAGAAGTATAATTCAGTGAGATAGGTTTAGAAAGACAAA